GAAACAGACCCTTCAGTCCATGCTGACCATGTTCCCAAACTAAACTAGTTCCCACCTGCCTGCTCCTGGCCCATATCCTTCCAAACCTTTTCTATCCATGTACTTATCCAAATGGCTTTTACATGTTGTTACTGAACCCGTGTCCACCACTTCCTCAAGAAGTTCATTCCACGCGTGAACCACCCTCTGTATTTGCTCCCAGGATGGTTCTCTGGGCTTGACATGGCATTGGCTTGTTGAAGGGTTGGGGGGTGGGGTGGGGGTGGTGGTGGGGTACACACGGAGGGGGTGGTGGTGGGTGAGTTTCGGAAGTGAATAGCCACCTCGCTAACTGTGTCCGTTTCTTCACGATCCTCACAGCACCTCGTGGGGAAGAGACTGCGCCATCCCTTCACGGGCCGTCTGCTGCCTGTCCTCGCTGACGTGCTGGTCGACCGGGAGATCGGCACAGGTAACGGCTCGCGGCGAGGTCACAGGTCACCGGGGTGGCTGGCGGGGGTGGAGGGATCCAGAAACAGACGGGGTTGGGGGGTGGAGTGTGCGTGGCCTGGGGAATCCAGAGGTTTGGGGGGGGTGGGGGTTTGTGGAATCCATGAGCCCAGACTGACCCGGGACGCTGTGGGGAATGACCCCCTGACCCTGCCCTAACCCTGCGATGCCCCTGGCCATGTTGAGTTTAATTTGGATACGTAATGGGGGTCAGTCGTGTTGCCATTGGTTAATTAGCGGGTACCCTCGTGGTCGCTCCCGTCCCTGCCTGCCCGCTAAACCCCTTTGCCCCCTGTCTGTGACAGGCGCTGTCAAGGTGACTCCTGCTCACGACCACACCGACTACGAGCTCAGCGTTAGACACCAGCTCCCGGTCATCTCCACCTTCAACGAGGACGGCACCATGGCAACCGAGGCTGGGCACTGGCTCCAGGTACAGCAAACCGGTTCCCCCACCCCACCCCCCCACACACACTCTGCAATCTCTTGTTTATTTCAACCCTCCACAAACTCCCCACTGCCCTCTGGCCCTCGTTTTCCCCGGCCCACACTGCCCTGGCCTCCCTCCTGCCCTCGGAGCATG